GCTTACTTCCTTGCATAAGACGCCCTTCAATTTTTAGTGTAAGGATTTTAGAAAAAAGTATAGTCTTATAGTCGGAAAAATACAGTATATCAAGCTCCCAGAAGAGCTCAAAATCAATGTTCAATCTAAAATTAGGTTTAAAAGTTCAGTACATCAAAAAGGCCTCTCCACCACCAGTAGCTATAGTTCATAACAACAGCAGCAGCAGCAACTCAACCTGCTTATGGGAAAATCATAACTAGCTAATAAGGTTTGTAAAGTCTGTTGTCTTATTTCAAATCCCACCAGCTGTACCTGTGAACATAGTATATAGCAAGGACCCTTCATGTTTAGGGGCCACTGGGCATAGCTGGTATTTTGAGAGCTAGTTATGGGCACTCCCACAGAAAAGAATATTTGACAAACACCAGTTGAACAAACCTCAGAATTACAGGCCTTTCAGAAAACCCTGAAGTCTGACTTATTTCCCAGATTCCTCTGGGAAGTCTGCAGTGATTTTTTTTCCAAATGTGTATGTGGGTATCTCTCTATCTCCATCTCTATCTATCTCTATTTCCATCATCTTTGCCTCTGCTCTCTATCATTTCTACCTCTATCCTCTGTGTGTGTGTGTGTGTGTGTGTGTGTGTGTGTCTTTGTATTTGGGACAAGAACTTGATTAAGGCTGATATTTGTTGCAATCTTGTTTTCTTCTGCAAGTTGCCTTGAGAGCTTCTGGAGGGTGGCTGAAAAATATTTTAAATCTATAGTAATCCTAAGTATTAACCCTCTTTTTCAGACACAGATTACTGCATCAGATGCCCAGAAGATCAATACTCAAGTGAAACCAGAGATCACTGCATCTCGAAAATTCACAGCTTCATTTCTTTTGAAGAACCTTTGGGCATCACGTTGGCTTCTTTGGCTCTTCTCTTTTCTTTGATTACACTGTTTGTGCTTGGAATCCTCATTAAAGAAAGGGACACTCCCATTGTCAAAGCCAACAACCAGAGCCTCACCTACCTTCTTCTCATTTCTCTCTTTCTTTAATTCCTCTCTACTTTGCTATTCATAGGTCAGCCCAATAAGGAGATCTGCCTCCTCCGGCAAACAGCTTTTGGCATCATCTTTTCCATTGCTGTTTCATCTGTTTTGGCCAAAACTACTACAGTGGTTAT